TGTAAGAATGAGGGGGGAGGAGGAGGGGGTGGAGGTAGAGGAGGGTGGTGGAGGGTAAGAAGGAGAGGATAGGAGGGTAGTGGAGAGGTTGGAGGGTGAGGAGAGGATGGAGATAGAGGAGAGAATTGGAGGATAAAGGAGGGTAGAGGAGAAGAATGGAGGATATCAGGAGGGGAAGGGGGTAGAGGAGGCGGGTGGAAGGTAGAGGAGAGAGTAAGAAGGGTAGAGGAGAGGACGAAAGGTAAGAGGGAGATGATTGGAGGGTTGAGAGGAGAGGTAGAAGGGTAGACGGGGTAGAACCGGACTGGGGCGAAATGGAGTATGGATTGGACGGCGGGATTGATCCGGGTTTCCGGGCCCCGATGATTCCCTCCAGGCGGTGTCTTACTTCCTCTCTTTCTTCCTTGTGTCCTATTATCTTGTCTTGTATTCTTCTTGTTCCTTTATCCTTCTTTTGTGTTTCTGTCTTCCGTTGCTGAGGTTAGGAAGGTAGGGTCTTGCTGTCGAACGCGCACGCACACGCACACGCACACGCCACACGTGGTGCGTGTGTCACACGCCACAGGAACGCAAGCCACGCAGCACCGCACACGCACTTACGCACACGCACAAGCACACGGCACACGCACCACGAGCACAGCCGCACACAGGGGTGGGTTGTCACACGACAGAGGCAACCACAGTGGCACACACCACACACGACACAAGCACACACCACAGCACACAGATCACATCACACATCGACACAGTGCTCACACACCGACAGCACACACAGCACACAACAGCACATATATATTATATATATAATATAAGTATATACATATATTATATACTTATAATATATGTAGTACATAGTATTATAGTAGTTTATAGATTAGAAAAGAGCACCAATGACACAGAACTCAGATTTTATTGAAATCTGGGGCATTGTGGGATTTTCGCTACCATAACATCATCACGAGTGCCGAATGTTTTCCTTTTATATATATAGTTATAGTATATATATAGTTATATAATATATACTATGAGTGGGATTATATAGTTGTTATATATAGTATATGATAATAAGTAGTGTGTATATATATATACCATACTCATATGAGTTATTATATGTAGATATATATAAGGTCCT